CCCCCCCCCCCCCTGCGCGCGCAAGTCTTTCTCTGATCGCAGGACATTCTCTTCCCGATTGCTGTATAGAAACCGAAAGGTTCTCATGTTTATCATATTGAGGAGGCCGCGGCGCTTCGTATGATGAATCCTCGCGCCGCTCGCCTCGCACGCCAGATGCCATCGGTGGCGTGAATATACAGAATAGTGATCGTTAACGTAAACAAGGCTATTGCCATGGATACAACGAAATACACAACCTCGCGCCACTCCCCTCTCACGCCAGGTATCAGCGGTGGCGTTCGCGGCGTACGTCCACCTCAAGCTCCCGAGGGTGCCGCAGGGCGCCTTCAGGGTGCCGATTCTGCCGGGGTACCGTAGAGGGACAAAGATTACGTTTAGCACGCCGGACGGGGTGGACGTGACCTTCGAACTGGTCGAGAAGCAAAGCCAGTTTCGTCGCTCAGGTACTGCTGTGTAACGGCAACAAACAAACGCATGTCGAGGGGGCACTGTACCATGCACGATTTCGTAGTATACCGCTACCATAGTAACGGCATACCGCACGTTGGATACGTAAGATACCACACACCCCGGACCGCCCGCCTCCTTCCCTTTTGTTGATGGTTTCATGTGGCCACGTTGTGCCGCAAGCCTGCGGCAGGAGTGCGCCTCGTGGAGATACGGTCTTGCGTGTCACGGACTCTTCCACACGTGGAGCACGTAGCCTTTGGGCTCGTCGACGAGGCTTTCGACGTTCATGCACGGTTCCGCAAAAAACAAAATCCTCTGGAAGAAACGTCTGCTTAGAGTATAGACCCCTGAGTGCAAGCCTCCCGCCGCTATTTCTTGTCCGTCTTACGTAGTTTTTTTTTTCTTCGCCATCTTCTCGTTTGCTTCTTACGCGTGGTATTGGTGACGCCGGAGTACAGTTCTTTTTGTGTTTGGCGTGAACGCGTGATTTTTCGTTGGAAGCGCTGCTGCTGTGTTGAGGTCCAATGGCTTTGTGTTTTTTTGTTATTGACGCCGCCGATGACAAGATAGTCGACGATAACCAGCCATTGCCTTCTCGTCCACCTGGAGCACCCGTAAATTTCGAGCTCAATTGGCGTACAGGAGATACGCTTGCAGATGTTGCAACTCAGCAACGGTCGTACCGCCAGAGACGGGGCGAGATGGATGCTATCCCCATGACCTGGGCTTGTTTCTGTCTTGCCCAACCACCGCTATTTGCCACGCTCTCGTCGGCTATGGCAGGTGACGACCTGTTCGTCATGCTGCGGCTTTCTCCGAAGATGGTGAAGCGAGGGTGCGTCGTCAAGGTCCCTACCCTCGACAAGGGAACGGCAAGTCTTTTCTTGCTGCCGTTTCGTTGGTGCTGTTGCGGTTGTTGCTACGGTTGTCGGCGTTGGCTGTTGTTGCTGCGGAAAAAAGACAAGGAATTACTAATTGCTGGGACGAAATCTCCGACAAATATTCCCAATCGTCACGTTCGAAGGTGAGGCGTACTCCACACAAAAAACAGAATCTGATTCATCCATTCTTCGCCCATTTTACTTTTTTTGCTGTGTTTTTCTCGCGCGAAAGCAGATTTCGATGCGGCTGAAACGGAGGGAGGCCAGGGACGGCTACGAGCGTCGCTTGCCAGGGCTGGGCATGCCTCGTCGCAACGACGGCGGGGAGGACGGCAGCAGTAACCGTGGAGACCTGATCGTGCACTTTATGGTGCCACCGGAGGAAGATTAGTCAGCAGTTGCACATGCAGCCTGCTTTTCTTCCTATCCCGCTCCATTTCTACAGGGAACTGCTGGTTTGGGGGCGGCGTGACGTTTCTGCTAGATGTCGCGCCGTGCACTCGTTCATGTATGAAGCCTCCGTTTTTTCTGGGTGGATCCTCATTAGACCATGCCATGCGTACCTGGCACCACCACGCAACACTTCCGGCCACAGCTATTATTTGAGGAGGGGCATCGAAACATTGTTGAGAGTGATAGGGAGAGGTAGCGGTAGGAGCTTTTGTATCTCAGCGAAGAAACGCTGAAACGGCGCATAAACTCCCGAACAACACAGGGCTGTGTGCAGATCACCTATATGACCCACGCACATCTAGTGAGCAAGCGCCACCCTCGCTGCTATTTAGTGGACAATTCGTTCATGGGCTGGTGGTGCGGCTACCAGCACACAAACCTTGTTGACCTGTTTGTTTTGGTTCGTCATCGCATTCCTCTCTGTAACCGTCGCCGCCATTCACGACATCTACCCTTCGGTCCCACCCTGGGTCACACAGAAGATCCGTTTTTTCCTGCGGCCCGCCTCTATCGAAATAATATACGCAGAGATACACGCACCGAAAAACACGCGGAAATTCAAACAGATGAGCAATACCGTACCGAAGCGGCCGAGGCCAACAGGAACAGGGCGGTACAGAAGCACACAAGGCAGGCACAGGTCGCACGAAACCCTCCCCCCCACCCCGTCATGTAGATTGGAAAATACGGCGGTGGCCCCCAGGGGCGACGCCAGAACTCGAGCGGCGATTCTGGAGATGTGCGTCCTCGCTTGTTCTACTGTAGTCCCCATACGACCCTCTCATTCCCATCACAAATCACAACACACAACCCACAACAGCCGGCAATTTCCCTCTCTTTGCGAAGGGTACACGACAGTTCTCTCTCTCTTTCCGCTCTGCTCCCCGTCTTGCCTCCCCCTTTCTCCAACACGACAAAATCACGACATAGTCTACATCCACGCTTCCTTTCGTATTGTCTCCCTCATGACGCTAGAACCTGCAAACGCACGGATCCCTCCAGCCGAAAATTCAACCCCACACCAATGAATAGCCAGCCTCGGGAGAAGAACCTGAAGGGAAAGCGCAAACTTCGGCTGAAAGTTGTAGCAAAAGCAGTCGGCTGCGGGAGGAGCTACTCCCACGAATTCCCCCCCAAACAAGGACAAACGGCCAGTTCTACACGAACAAGACAACATCATGGGCACGTTGGGCACTGCTAGAGTTCTGCAGGTGGGGCGGGGGCCAACACAAGCCTACCCTACTCAAAGGAGCCACGCAGCCAAGATGCATACAACACATCGGTACACTTGATAATGCGGTCGGCATGATGCTCCATGGCACTCACATGACATCCACCTGGCGACTCGCTCAACATCGACAGGGGAACAAAAGAGTCAATCAAGCTGCATATTCTTCTGCCGTCCGTTCAATCTATCGCGATCAGTTTCTTTGGCTCACGCACATTCCCGTAATCTCGATGTTCCGTAAAAATAACAGCAAGTAACTCCCCACAGGCGGGCGTTGACTGGACACGACTTCACTGTTTGGTCGACCAAATGACATCAGTGTAAAATAGAGCGACAAGTGCCAGGTAAACAAAGCCAACAACGGACCTGAACGCGGGCCTATCAATGCATGCGAAACACAGCGGAGTTGACGAAGAAGACGCGGCAGTTTTGACACTCACCCCTCTCTAAAACAGAGACAAGAAAAACAACCGAACCGGCCCATGGCATACACGAAACTCTAACCTTACTCTAAGAAGGTACTAAACATCTAACGCCTTCGGTAAATCAGTAGCAGCGTTGAAAGGACAAGGGAAATCAGCACAACTGGAGGAGCCACAACGTCTTCTTGGCACTATAGGGTAGCACCCCTTCCCCCCACGGAAAGTATGTTGCTTGCATGTCGGGTAAATACGCAACAAAGTAACGATGACGAGTGCGGTCAGAGCGTCCAGTTTTTGGCCCTCACAGCGCCGCGACGCTCGGCGGCTCGACAGTATCAACAGCATCAGCAGCATCAGCAGCAGCAGCAGCAGCAGCGGGAGAAACGACCCCGCCATTCGCTCTGCGGTCGCCCTTCGGTTCTTTCGCGCCGCTGCACTGGTCGTCGGCTGCAGGGACGGCCGCTAAAGCGGGGTCTTCCTCCTCCTCCTCCGGGTCGGTGTCGTTTGGAACCACAACGCCTCCGCCGTCGGCATCTCCGCTAGCCTCGGCGGGACCACCCCCCAGAGCCGCTGCCGACTCCGGCGGCGGCGGCGGCGGCGTCTCATCCCCGTCTTCGACCATTGCCGTCGGAACCGCCACGTCCTCCTGTGCCTCGGCGCCCTTGGACACCCCCGAGGCCTTCTCCGACATTGGCGACGCCTCTGCGCTCGCAGGCTCTGTCCCCTCCTCCTTGTCCAACGGTTCGCTGCCACCGGAGGCGCCGCTCGCGTCTACCACGCCACCCGCCAGAAGCCTGGCAACCGCCGCCGCCTTCGCGTCGGCCTTCTGGTCCCTCACGTAGACCGGCGGTCTCTCCGCGACGGGAAGCTTGGCGCTGCCGCCGCCGCCGCCGCCGTTCATCCCGGCAAGGATCCACTTGTCCGACGCCCACTCCGGACCGTCACCTCCGGTGCCGTCGCCGCCGGGCGTGTCGCCGCTGCCGGCGGCGACCGCGGCGTCGGCCACGGAGGAGTCCTTCGCGAGCTGCTCCTTCTCGGCCTCAAGGCGGGCGTCTCTCTCCCTCGCCTCGATCCGGAGCTCGGTCTCCTCGGCCTCGAACTCCTGCCGACACAAACGTTTCGCGTGCATGCAAAAAAAAAAAGTAGTCGATTCTCTGTAGGGAAGACTTGATCCATTCTCTTCACAAATGCGCAACAAACCTAGCTCTTCGGCAGATAATAGTCCGGGATAGATTAGCAATGGAAAGTACATGAAAGTGTTATATGAAGACTAAACTGTTCTGTAGTTTCCGTGAGTGTACCATGGGGGTTGACATGTTGCATGTACCCCTCGCAAAAACCTAGCTGTATGTGTGTACGAACATACATCGGCCTCGAGCTCCTGCCGAACACGATTTGCGCGAAAAATCGACCCTTCGTGGTGTAACCTATCGTGTCCGTGAGCATACCAAGGAGTTTGAGTACCCCGGGAAAAGATTGCCGCTGTTTGTGCGCACGATAACACTAGAAACTTGTGGTAGCATTGGTGTTTTCAAATTCACACTTAGGAAATAAGGGTCCGAAACCCGAAGGGATATTTGAGGAGGTGCTCGCGGTAGAGATCAGGGCGGTTCTAAAACGTAGAGAGAAAGAGAGGGAGAGAGTAAGTAGGGCGAGGCAAAGAGAGGAGCGATACCGGCCACACGCTCATACCTTGAAGCGCTGGTGCAACAGCTCTTTACGCTCCGCCGCCTTGCACTTGCGCTCCGCCGAAATGCGCTGTAAAGCTTCCTGCAGCGCGAATGAACAGGGCATACGGCGAATTGGGGTGTTGTTTACGGGAAGACTTGTTTTGCTAGAGAATAACACGAACAGACACGACGTATGCGGCATCTGATTCTTTGACAGGGTTGGCAGAAAGTATGAGCAAGCGTCAAATGCCAACAGGCTACAAACCCCCTCAACTGCAAATTGACGCGGCGAAGAAGTTTACTGATAAGTGGAGATTGTCTGCCAACGTTAAGAAGAGTGCCGTCATGGTATGCAACGAGAACAAGGAGGAACCAGTAGAACATAGATGGAAGTGGGGGATCGAGGAGATTGCAGTAGTGGACCAGTACACATACCTCGGAGTAGAGATCGCAAAAGACTGCTCGTGGAATGCACACATGTCCAAGGTAGCGGAAAAGGGCAAAGCACGAGCAGGGAAGCTGCACCCAATACTCGCAAACCGGCACCTCGATACACGCATCAAATTGACGGTTTTGAAGAGCGTAATCGTACCGCCGCTAGAGTGCGCCGGAGAAGTATGGGAAGGAACTACGAAGGTACAAAAAGAACTCGAGGCGGCGCAGATGAAAGCAG